AGTGGAGCAGTTGGTGAGGCGGATGAGTCTAGCTGCTGAGTTCAGGATAGTCTGGAGCGGGGATAGCATGTGTTTGGGTAGGCCAGAAGGGAGTTGCAGTAGTCCAGGCGTGAGATAATAAGGGAGTGAACGAGTTGTTTAGTGGTGTCTGGGGTGAGGAACATACGTATCTTGGAAATGTTGCGGAGGTGGAGCCTGCATGAATTTGATAGTGATTGGATATGAGGTTGGAAGGAAAGGTTTGAGTCCAGGGTGACACCCAGGACTTTGGCGTGTGGGGTGGGATAGATGGTGGCGTTGCTAGTCGTGATGGAGAGGATGGGGGGGGGGGGGGGCGCGGGCTGGGGGGAAAACTAGGAGCTCGGTTTTGGAAAGGTTTAGCTTGAGGAAATGGAGCGACATACATTTGGAGTCCCCATTTCTAACATATCAAATTGAAGATATCTGGGTTAAGAGTGCATTCCTCTTGATCCAGGTGGTAGGTCCAGTGTTGCAGAGCCATCTGAATGCTGAGCTCCAGGATGTTGATAGAGAGCCTAGATTCCATAGGTGACCATGTATACTGGCCCATGGGGAACTGGAACACTCCTCCTGAGCCTGAAAGACTCACATATGTTATTACGTTCCAGAGATAGGGAAGGAAATACTTCCCTATTGTTAGGAGTGGGCTTGAAATACACCAAGACAGGGAATTCCTTACTTGGCTAAACAGAAGCATGGGTAGGTCAAGAGAAGGAGCATGCTTGCTCCACGTCAACAAAAAGTTCTTGAATGAAATTGGGCAAATAATACAGCTTCAGAGGAGGCTACTATGAGGCCTAAAAGTCTCACAGAGAATCGTGTTGGATAATTTTCTCTTTGATCTCAATTCTTCAGCATGGGCTAAGACCCTCGGTCCACACTATTGCAAGCTGTGCAGCCTGAGTTTGCTCAGGCACAGCAGCCTATTTATTTGAATGGACTGCTTTGCCCACTTTTACAACAAAAAAAGGTGCATGCACCTTTTTGAAAACATGACTGCAGGGATGGTCTTTTTGACTTTGAACAGTCTAGGGTTCTTAGTGGTGTACCCCAAGGTTCAGTGTTTGGACCTTTACTTTTTAATATATTTGTAAATATATAGAGTCTGGGATTAAAAATCTTATTTCAGTGTTTGCAGATGACACTGAGATATGCCATGGAATAATGTACCTAAAAGGATGTCTCCAACTTACAAGCTCAATGCACTATTTAATTGGGCAACTGTGTGGCAAATGAGGTTTAATATTGGTAAATGTAAAGTTATGCACTTGGGGCTAAGAATATGCACGCATCTTACTTACTACGGGGAGTACAACTGAGAGAATCAATGGTGAATGATCTGGGAGTTCTGATAGATCATAAGCTTAATAATGGCATGCAATGCCAAGCTGCAGTTTCCAAAAGCAATCAAAATGTTTTCTTGTATTGAGAGGTATAGACTCCAGAGAGAGAGATTATACCTTACCTGAAATATGCAGTTCAGTTTTGGGAACTGGCGAAAGTGCAGAGAAGGGCAACCAAACTGATAAGAGGGATGGAGGAGATCAGCTATGAGGGAAGATTAGAGGAACTGAATTTATTCTCTCTTGAGAAGAGAAGATTAAGGAGAGATATGATCACCATGTATAAATACACAGGTGCTCCATAATGTGAACTTGGTGTAGAGTTATTCACTTTAAGGTCATCATAGAGGACAAAGGGGCACTCTTTACGTCTGGAGGAAGAGAGATTTAATCTCCAAATATGGAAAGGCTTCTTCACAGTAAAAATGTGGATTAGACTCCCTTAAGAGATAGTTCTGGCTAGCTCAATAGATTGTTTTTAAAAAAGCCTGGATTCTTTCCTAAATGTACATAATAACTGGATACTAACATTCATAGGCAAAGTTGATCCAGGGAATATCTGATTGCCTCTTGGGGGATCAGGAAGGAATTTTTTCCCCCGGTGGAGCAAACTGGATCAAGCTTTATTGGGTGTTTTTTTGCCTTCCTATAAATCAACTGTGGGTATACGATTGTAGATTGTTTTTTTTTTAAGTTTTAATAGTTAAACTATATGGACTATATGGTCTTTTTTTTAAGCGGACTAACTATGTAACTATTGAATGTCTGTTCCTAAGAAATGCAGAAAGCACTGAGGAGGTAGAGAAATGGGAACATGCAGACAGGCAACTTGGATGTCTACGGATGCCATGTATTCTCCTTGTCTCAGAGGCAAGAATCAACTTTCCAGACTCCATGCAAAATTTGGAACCTGAAGATATGGGATTGAGGGATTTTAAGTCCAGAATATGACAAATACCCCTGTTGGGCTTTGGTACTGTGAACAGGTTTGAAGAAAATACTTTGTGGGGTATGGTCACAACTACTCCCTGGGACAAGAGATGGTTCAAAACATTTTGCAAATCTGAATGTCCTTGAACAGTCTTTGGTTAACTGGAAAGAAGAAAGCATTGAAGGAGTAAAGTTCTGAACTATTAAACCACTGACTGAACCCCCAAGTGTAGGACTGGGCAAACTGTAACAGATGTCCCTTCATTCTTAGGAGTGAGGGCCCCTTACTATGGGAAGAGGGATTTGGGGAAGACTTGCTGGGCTTTGTGGTCCAAGTTTTATGCCAAAAGGACCCTAGGTTTGAAAGTTAAAGAATGGGTAGAGCGATTAGGTGCTCTACGTTTTTAAGAGGTAGAAGATCCTGAGGAGTGGGATCTGGGATCTTCCGCTGTGGAAGTAAAATCTTTTATGAATTGGTCAGTGACTCCCCAAACAGAAGCCTTCCTTGAAAAGGCATATGTGTGAGGTGTCACTTACAAATGGTTTCAGCTGTCCAGGCTTTAGTGTATGTAATTCTGCACAAGTGAATAAAGATTATGGTCATTCTGGACATTTGTCCCATGACATGTTTTAGGGTATCCACACAAAAAAGCAGAGCAGAAGATAAATGCTGTAATTGCTTTGTTAAACCATGACCCTGGAAAGCAAAACCATGTTGGTTGTTCATTGCTCCAGTCCAGTTAACTGTCTGATATACTGAAATTACAAGAAGACATGGTTGCAGACTGAAATGTCAAGATCAACTACATGAATTCTGTTTAGTGAACCCTTTTTCCATTGGATAGATTTTGGGAGAAGTGAAAATTCTTTCTAAAGTGTTCCAATTGTCATATGTTGCAAATTCTATTTGTTTGTAAGCTAAAAAGGGGCATGGCGAGATAAAGAAGAATCAAGCTGCACAATGCCAAGACTTTTGTGGATGGCAGCAGTGAGCTTTTCCACATTAGCAACCATATTATGTAAAGCTCCCTCTTCAATGGGACAATCTAAGGGAGAAAAACTTCCACCAATGCCTCAACATCCTCTTCATTCCCTTTTGTGTCTAGGACAGGCATAACAGGATCTGACTCAGTTAGCGAAATGGCTGTAGGAGAAAAGGAGTGGCATTTTTTAACCCTGGGCAAAGGTGACTGTATTAAATCTATTACTTGTAAGAGGAATTGTGACATAGATGCAGAAAATTCAGCAGCTGTCGGGCAGAGAGCTTGTTGCGTGCCTGAAATAGAGATAGAACTGAATGCAGAGATAGGGGTTATGCCTGGTACACACTATCAGTTCAACCCAGTGGGCTGAACGAAAAAATAACCGAAGAGCATGGGAGGAGCTTGCTGTACTAACTATCCGATGTTTGTATAGCATCTCTCTGCTATGCTACTGTGTTCTGACAGGGGGGCTATCCCCCCCCCCCCCCCCCCCCCCCCCCCCCCCGAAAACACACTGGTCAGCGCTCGCAGCCTTTGGCTGCCAACACTGATTGGATGCTGTGTTTGACAGAAACTGGCCGTTCGGACATGCTTGTGAATGGTTTTTGTTGAACCAGCCAATACTCGGCCTGTGTGTACGGGGCTTTAGAGTCTGCTCTTCCTCTAGTTCAAGAGATACATCGCCACTGAGACTGGGTGTGGTGCAGGAAAATACTCATCTGTGGCTTTGCAATGGTTTCCTTTTGCCTGGTCGCTACCTTAACTACATGTGAGGGTATTCCCCTGTGAGGTACCCACAGAGTAGGGTGTGGAATATAAGGTAAGCATGTTCAGAAGGAGAATACAGCAACTCAGGTTTAGACTGTCCTTTAACATGGTGAAACGGCAAGAAGTGCCTGAGTAATAAGGATAATACTGTAGGTGGAAATGTTTGACCTGTGGTGTCACACGACACCTCGTCACTTGCCTGAGACTAATCTCTGAGTGGCTGAGTTTCAGCTCCAAATTGAAAAGGTTTCCACTGTAGTAAATACAATTCATATATAGCCCTGGTCTTTTATGGTCAAAAACATGCAGGGATGACCTTGTTTGATTTGTCCATAAGACTACACTGTAAATAAAAAGTCCAGGCATCACCTGTCTTTATGAACATACCCCTAATGGGGTCTTCAAGGTTTGGTTTCAATAGGGATGGACCATGTCCCTATACAGCATCCTGCAGCTGACTAAACACGCTGCACTAAGTGCACAGGTGAGTACCCATGCAGGTTCCAGTGCCCAGAGGAACCTTATAGACCATCCAAAAAACAAAGGATCCAAGTACAGCTCCTAATGTTTACCAAGGTTGTGCAGGTTTGAATGCACCGCTTCTGTTGGATGTAAGACAGTGAGCTAACTGAAGAATCTCAACATAAAATAATAAAGAAAAATAAAACTAGCGCAAAACTGAGAATTCACGGTGTGGGGTAGGGTTATAGAGGAGGCACCCAGTGGGCTTGTCCTCAAAAGCTTGCTAAAGTCCAATCACCTGAAGGTACAAGCCTATACCCCAAGGTCTATGAATACGTTGCCTGCATCCTATACTATACTATGAAGATAACTAGTTTATTATTTACTTAGTAATTTACACTGATACTTTAACATATACAGGCATGCATTATTTTGCTTAAAGCAAGAATAGATTTGATAAACTAGATCTGATACCAGGTGCATCAAGACTTACTTTTTTAGAGGTGCTGAATTCATAAATTACTTCTTTTTCCTCATTTCTCATTACAGGAATTTTGGGAATGCCTCCCACATGAAAATGGCTTCTAAGTACTGGTAGAAGATCAAAACACAAGTCCTCAATTTTTTTAAGAGCCTTCGTTATAATATCTTCATCAATACTGCCGTCTTTCACAACATCTGGAAGCAGCTCACAATAACCAATATTGTAGCAAGAGTCTTGACATTTCTGCATTTCTGTATCATTTTTTTTCATTTTTTGTAGGTGCTGTGGAACAGTTTTTCATAGTTTCTATAACTGGAGACTCTGTGTCTAGTCGAAGCCTTTTGGCACTTCTAGGCATATGGAAGGCATCAGTAATTTGTTTACTTGGGGAACCAATGCAGCTGGGTTGCTGTTGATTCTCAGAACTGTTCAATTTGTCTTTACTACTGTCAACATTTGAACTGCCCCCAGTTTTTATAAATACTGTAGAAGTGGATGTAATAGATTTAAACCCAGTTATTTGGCTGACAGACATATTTTTAACATCTCTAGGCAAACTTCGGTTTAGCTGAACATTACCTTTTAGGATATTTAATGTTCTTGCTCGTGCAGATAATTCTGGGTACATTTTATCTAGAATTTTTACAGAATTTTCTTGAACACTGGTTGAAGAGCTACCAGATGCAGAAAGAGGAAATCTTCCTGGCACAGGGAGAGCATGTTTTGGTGTGGCAGCACAGAACTGCAAAGGAGAAGACAAAATTCTTCTGTTTGCTTTCTCAGCAGGTGAAGGGGTGATAAGCACTGGGGATTTTTTGCCTGCTCCCATCAGATAAAGGAGACACTAGTTGTGGGAATGGAGTGCCTGGCAAAGGAGAAATCATGTCATCAAGAGGAGATGGTAAAGATGAACAACTTGAAGATGATAGAATAGGTGACAGAGAGTGTATACTTTTCGGAGGAGTTGCCAACAGAGGACCTAGCAAAGGAGGCAATGGGGGACCCATTTCTGATCTTACTTTAGTAATGGTTTCTGGTGAATGATCTGAGTTGGTTGAAGTATCAGCATTTGCAAGCACAGTTTCTCCCACATGTATATGCGGTAAACTTTGGTCACCTCGAGAAAGCTTTCGCTGATTGCTTTCTTTAGTTACAGCTTGACAAACAATATTTGTAGATTTTACCTTGTGAGACCTGTTGCCTTTTGTCCTTTTCTCTATGTTAAAAGCAGTCCCATGAAATGAGTCCTTTGAACCAACATGTAGCATTTTTAGATTTGTTCTCAGTTTATGTTTACCAGAAATAACTCTAGTATCGACTGAATCTTTAGGTCTTTCAAAATTCCATATGAAATTCCTACCTGGAAGTGTTTTTTTTTTTTTTTGCCCTCATTCTCTATAGTATTAAAACAATTTTGCCCAGTGTTATTATTGTCATATTGAATATTTTCAGATTCCAATTTTCCCTTCTGTTTTTCACATTCTTCTAAAGTAGTGGTTTCCTTTTCACCAGAGTATTGATCCCCATTATATTTACTATTATTTTGGTCATTTTCTGGATCTACAATTATGTCAACTGTAGCTAAAGATTTCTGTTTCACCAAGATGCTATTTTCAGTTTTTGAGGAAAGAGAGTCATATTCAGAAGTAACACATGTAGATAAGTCACCTGCACACTCCCTGTCAGCCAATTGAGTAATCATAGGCTGACATGCAGAGTTATTTGATTCCAAATGTACATTACAAACCTTCTCCTCAAAACTTTCTGAAGCACTCTTACTATATTTCTTTGCATTCACAGGGTTGTTGGAGACAGCTTTTGCGTAGCTGACTTTACGTATGAGAAAATTATCTTCTTCACTGCTATCCAAGGAAACAATACATTCATCTTCATTTGCATCTTTTTCTTCAGTAACTTTATTTAATACCTTAATTGACTCTGAACAGAAATCAAAATGTTGCTGGACTTCTAGAGGTAAAACAGCCATTTCTTTAGAAGAATTAAACTTCATAGTGAGGTTGTCATTGCTAGACTGCGAAGAATAAACAGTGTTCATTTTTTCCAAAGCGGAGTCCTGTTCAGTACAAATATCCTTTTTTGGAGTTATTCCTTTACAAAGATCTTTATTTATGATATCAAGCCGATCTCTGCTTTCAGGTACTAGGTCCACTGGCAATTTAATAAATTGTTGATCACACAGCTGAGGCATAGCTTTTGCAGTCAAAATCTGTTTTCTTCTAGCCCATTTAGGTACCCATCAGCGTTAGTAGTATCAAAATTTGAAGAAAGTGTGTTGTGCAGTAAACTAGTTGAGTGAGATTCACTGTGCCTTGCAGAGCATAATTGGTCATCAACAGCTTGACTTTGAGAACAGGTATCGAGCTGGGTTGCTATAACTGGTTGTGTATCTGCCACAGCTGCTTTTTGCTCTATAGAAGAGACCAGTGTATACAAATTTGAACTAGAGGAACATAGCTGAACAGTTTCTAGTGAACTTATTTTACACTGCTCAGTTACAACATGGCATGTGCTTGCACTATCGGATTCATCTGCATCATGTGTGGATTCTTTAGTTTTGACTGTATAAGTCTGCAGACTACTATGTATCTTTTCTTTACTTTCATCTTCCAATTTTTCCATGAAAAGGCATTTGCTATCCCTGCCAGCAACAGTTTCAGACAAAAAATTTTCTGTGTCTACTGTACTAGAGTCCGAATTAAAGGATGTTGAGACTGGCATGATCTCTAAGGAATCTTGCATGCCATAACCTAGTTCATTGTGGGTTGCTTTGTAACAATGCCCACCCTTGGCATTTCTTCTCAAAGGCAACATCTGCTCCAGTGAAATAGTTGCTTTTTGTAATTCCTGAATGTGTTTTGGGTCATTTTTATCCATTTTGTCAGTATAATACTGGTTTGTCAACTTGGTATCTTCAAACTGTACAACAGGTGTACTGATTGAATGCCCTAATTGTTCTTTAAGTTCATTAAGAGAAGGTTGCACTGTTTCAGCAGCAAAATACGTTTTACCATTCACTGAAGTGCCATTATTAGATTTTCCAGTATCTTCAAAACAACCTATTGATTGTTTGGAGTCTTCAAAGTTTTTGGAATCATTATTATACTGATGATTAAATTCATTTGAACATAGTTCAGGTTGAGCAGATAAGAGTAAATTATCTTGATCTCTGTCTATCATGGTAAAATTAGAATCATCCATATACTTTTCTGCACCTAAATTGTCGTTAACAGGATTCTCTTCAGCACTGGTTATATTGTTGGGAACATGGTTTTCTGCAGCAATAGTTATACTATACTCTTGGAAAGATTTTATAGATTTGTGTTTGTCAGAACTAATTTCATCAAGATTACAGTTATGCAAAGGAGAATCTTTAGAAAATAACATTCCACTAGCATTTGCAGATTGGTTGTGATGGACAGGCATATTACAACTTGTAGAAATGGAACCATCTTCTTTAGAACAATGCATGTTTTCAATTACCAATCTTCCTGAAAAATCCCCACCAATTGGGTGCTCCATCGCGATGGGCATGTCACCAATTGTACCAGTAGAGCTTTGCTGTAGTAATTCAACTTCAGGATTATTAATGCTGCTTAATTTTCTTACTGGACCGTTCTGGTTTCCATACCATGCTGAAGATTTTTCAAAGCGATTTGCTCTGTTGACAGCAGGATACAAAGTGTTATCCTTTTCTTTTGGATTTTGTTCTGCTAAAACATTTGTTGTCAATGTGTTACTGGCAACACCAAAGCTGACTTCAATCTGCATTGAAGACATTTCTATATCTTTTTCGTCGGTTTCCATTTCTGTAGTGAGATCATCCTTATAATTAGAAGGAAATTCAGACTGAAATTTAACTGTGGATATGCTGTCACTTTGCACATTTTTTCCAAACTCAACATTTTGTTTACAATTCTCTGTTACACTTCCTGTTTCTGGACATGGTAAAAAATTGGTCTGGTCTTGATCACAATTTGGTTTCCTTTCCAGCGTTGTACAATCTTTTGCTTTATTTTGCCCATAGGTGCCCTCATTATCACTTGAATCTGTAAATTCTCCAAACACACACTGCAAAAGAAGAAAATAAGTAAAAATTGTATTAGTCTTAGTGTCAGGTCTCCCTATAAAACTTGCAGAATACTTAACAGTACATTAGTGTGGTGGAATAATTGCTGGTTTGTTAGAGGAATACAGTGCTATACAAATTAGTTTTGTTGCAGTCTGATACTACAGTTGTTTAAGTTCATTTTTTCTCAATAATCTAAACTCAATACCCAATAATGACAAGGTGAAAACATATAAATTTAGAAATTCCTATGAACTTATTGAAAAGAAAAAACTGAAATCACACATTAGCATAAGTATTCAGACCCTTGGCAACAACACTTGAAATTTAGCTTGGGTGCCTCCTGTTTCTCTTGATCGTTGCTGAGATGTTTCTACACCTTAATTGGAGTCCACTACTGAACGTCCGGAGAGCAGCACAAGCAGAACCCAGTGCCTGAGGTCTCTTCGAGACTGAGCCCTGCAATGTCCAGTCCAGTGGGGTCTGGGTATAGCTCACTAAAGTCCAACTGAGAAAAGGTCAATCAGATAGCTGCCATGTAGATATCAGCTCAAGCAGAGCTGTAATGAAGAATCTTTACTGAAGTCAGTGGAAGACCAACTGAAAAAAAAAAAATGAAGAAAAAAAAATGCTAGCAAAAATTGGGTTAGACTTTTCTCAGCAAAGCTGAATTAAAGATGTCCATCTTCCAAGGACACTAGCAAAACTGAAGCATGCTGGGTAGAGGAGGAGTTATCCTACAGATTTCTTGTTTCCGCAATAAGAGATAAAAAAAATAAAATCTATTTTCCCTATATTTATAGTGTCACCTAATGAACAATATTTGTGTATACTATGCACTTTCATCACTAGGGGACCGGCGGCAGTACATATACTGCTACAAGGCAGTCCCCTGTGCGCAGGATCACGTATATAAACGTGACTCGCGCTCCCGCTTATTACACAGGCTGGTGTCACGACCCGCTGGTGTCCCTAAGGGATCAATCATTCGGTTTAGGCCAGTGATGTCCGGCCAAAGTTGGATGTTCGGTCCCTGTCCTATCCTGTCCTTTGTTTACAGTTACACAGGACAGGATATGATGTAAATCTTCTCTGCCTGGGCACATTCCGTCCCAGAGAGAGAAGACGACACAGTAAACGTGAGTAAAACAGCACACATTTACAGTTAGAACACAACTAGGCCACATTTAACCCCCTGATCGCCCCCCCCCCCTCCGTTAACCCCTTCACTGCCCTGTCACCAGTGTCATGAATTACTGTATACAGATTTTTTACTGATCACTGTATTAGTGTCACTGGCGACTTCCGATAGCATTAGTGCCCCTCCCAGATAGCGCCAGTTTGCCCGCTAGTAAACCAGTAATCCCCATTTAACCCCTTGATCGCTCTCCCCCCCATTTAACCCTTCAGTGCCCTGTCACCAGTCTCATTATTTACAGTGTACAGATTTTTTACTGATCACTGTATTAGTGTAGTTTGCGAGTTCAGACAGCGTTAGCACCCCTCCCATATAGCGCCAGATTGCCCGCTACTACACCAATAAACCAATAATAGCATTTAACCCCTTGATTCCCCCCCCCCCCCCGCATTTAACCCCTTTACTGCCCTGTCACCAGTGTCCTTAGTACAGTGTACAGATTTTTTTGCTGATCACTGTATTAGTGTCACTGGCGACTTCAGATAGGGTTAGTGTCAGTTAGCGTCCCTCCCAGATAGCGTCAGATTGCCTGCTAGTACACCAGTACTCACATTTAACCCCTTGATTGCCAGGAACACGCTCACTTGCACACTATTGCACACTAAATCTCCACTGCTATTATAGTGTCTGAACAGATCAATATCTTTTTTTTATCTTCGTTTTTTTCAGCCAGGGATGAGCTTTTGTCAGGGATCCTATCGCTGTGCAGCGGTGCGACGGATCAACTCGAGTAGCGGCGGAGCGAGTGCGCAGGAGCATACGGCCGCGCATGCGCAGCAGCGCGGGAAGCTCGTGCATGCACAGTAAGCGTCCACGTCACGGCCAATGGGCTCTTTAAACCTGCTGCAAATGAATCACTGCCTTCTGGTCTAAATACGCTCCTGTGCTCAAATTTCTGATTCTGATACCTGCTCTTCTGTATAGTCGCCTAAGAAAGAACTCCACCTGCACCGACCCCGGCTATTCCTGACCATTTTCCTGCCTGCTCCTCTTGTACTTATCTGCCCGCTTGTTACAGACCCGGCCTGCCTGACTCTGCTGTATGATTCTGTCTGTAACCGCACCTGACCTGCGTCTTGCCTACCTACCACTGTACTCACGGTTTTGCATCCAGACTACCGCCACACCTGCCTGCTGCTGAACCTACATTCCTGCACCCACACCTGGCTTGTGTTCGGATCTCCTGAGTTCCCAGCTACCTGACAGCTGCAAGATCCGCACGGCACTCCCGCCACTCCTGGCTCTGCACCCTTGCTCCCACCTTCAGGGACTCCGAGCAGGAGACGTAAGAGGACGCCTTCTCTCTATTTCAGGCTCCCCAATCTGGTACGTAATAGTCACCCTGTATACTGCTTCCGCTAGTGGTCTTCTCTACCTCAGCTGGGTGTACTGGGGGCCGCGACCTGGTCCCAGCCTGCTCCAAGTCCATCCCCACCATCAGGGGCTCTGGTGAACAAGCAGACTGGGGCTTAGACCCCGCACCCTGGGAAACCCTAGCTGTGGGTCTAGAGAGCTACCCGCCATAGCCATGACAGCTTTCATGTAAAAGCAATCCTAGTGGCTACTTAGGTGCAGAATTGCTTTTACAAGCAGCAGGAGAAGATACCCCTCCTCCCCCGCTGCCATCCACGGCCTTCTCGGGGAGTCCTGTGCCATCGGGAGAACCTGATAATGCAGCCAGTGTTTCTGCCAGCTGACCATAGAGCTGATTGGAGACCAGAATGGTGCCAATCATCTCTATAGTCTAAGAAATCAGAAGCTATGAGCATTTTATCACTTCAGGTTTGCAGGATATAAACAGCGCCCTTTGTAAATTGGGAAAGCATCTGATTACACCAATCTTGGTTTGATTAGATAATGTAAGGGCAGAGGTGATATCTAGAGTCTGATAGACTCCAGATTTTTCAAAAAAGAATATATGACAATGCTCATTGAAGTTACAGGGGATATTTGAATTCCCTGTGATAGCATTAAAAGTGATAAAAAAAAGAAAAAAAAAAAAATGAAAAAGGGACAGTGTACAAATAATTATAAAAATCAAAAAGTATCCTTGCCCCTCACGCGCACCTGCTTGCGCAAGAGTTGACCCTGTGCCAGTATGTAAAACAGCGATTGCACCACGCATGTGAGGTATTGCCGTGAACGTCAGATCAAGGGCAGTAATTCTAGCACTAGACCTTCTCTGTAAATCTAAAATGGTAGCTTTTAAAGGCTTTTAAAGCGTTGCCGATGGATATTAAAAATGTCTGCAGTTTGTCGCCATTGCACAGGGCATGCACAGTTTTAAAGGATGTCATGTTTGGTATCTATTTACTCAGCATAGCATCATCTTTTATGAGTTACCAAATCATTTGCCAATATATTGTGTCCACCTCAAGAAACGTGATAGGCAGTCAGAATGTAAAAGCTGTGTAAATTCCATTATCTATACCATAGTTTGTAGACGCTATAACTTTCACACAAAGCAATCAACATACACTTATTGGGATTTTTTTTTAACCAAAAACATGTAGCAGAATACATTTTGGCCTAAGTTTATGACTAACTTTGAGTTTACTGTATATTTTTTTATAGCAAAAAGTAAAAAAATAGTTTTGTTTTTTTTTTCAAAAATTCTGGTCTTTTTTTGTTTATAGCGCAAAAAATAAAAAGCACACAGGTGATCAAGTACCACCAAAAGAAAGCTCTATTTGTGTGAAAAAAGGGTCTAAATTTCATGTACAGCATTGCATGACCGCGCAATTGTCAGTTAAACTAGTGCAGCGCTGTAAGGCAAAAAATGGCATAACTTACAGCATCTATACCATAGTTTGTAGACACTATAACGTTCATACAAAGCAATCAATATACACTTATTGGGATTTTTTTTTTACCAAAGACATGTAACAGAATACATTTTGGCCTAAATTTATGACTTTGTTTATTATATATTTTTTATAGCAAAAAATATAGTTTTTTTCAAAATTTTTGGTCTTTTTTGTTTATAGCGGCAAAATTAAAAGCGCACAGGTGATCAAATACCACTGAAAGAAAGCTCTATTTGTGTGAAAAAAGGACGTAAATTTTGTTTGGGTACAGCTACAACTGCACAATTACCAGTTGAAATAGTGCAGTGCCGAATAGCAGAAAAAGGCCTGGTCATTAAGGGGGGTAAATCCTCTAGAGGGCAAGTGGTTAAATACAAATAACTATTAAGGCAGTAGGTAGAACAATTTTAACTGCAAAAATACTGAAGTTAAAAGTAAACGAATTAAGCCACACACGGATATGTGAAAACAGTAAACATTTTCCCAAAATTATGTTAAAAAGCTTTAGACTTACCTTTGTGGTTAATGGAGAAAACTGTAAAGGAGATAAAAGCTGTGGCAGAGGTTTTGCCCAGTACATTATTTGTGAAAGTTCTTCCATATCACATGCATGATCAGAAATTTTTAAGTGGCTGTCATTTAAATCTTGAAGTACAAACACATCTTTTACTGACGTCTCTGTGTAGAATGGCTGGTCTCCTTTATTTTCATGTGATTTTTCACAGTTAGCAGAATCATTTGATGTATTTACAATAGCAGATTCGGAGAACGTTTCAAGCTTGCAACTTGATGCTGATGTATTAAGGTGTCTAGCAGGTGGTGTGCGATCATCAGGGCTCTGGCAGTGCTTTCCATCTCTTAAACTGGTTTCTAAGGGAAACAAAAATTGATAAAAATATTGCTTGCTTTACATTGTGGTAATGTCCTAAACTGGGAAAAAAAAAATCAAGCTATTGTATAGTTCATTAATGAATTTAATACTGGTCTGATCACATGGGTGTTGAAGGTGAAACAGATTGGGGAAAATCAGGTTTCCCTGCCATAGACTATCTTCTCTTGCATATCTAAGCATATCAAACTAAAAACAAAAAAATATCACAACTTTCCAGTTTTTAGATGTGGTAGCTACATTAATCTTTGTTCAAGCTTTCTTTCCTTTTTATTCCAGGAAGACCTTCCTGTCTCACACCCAGAACAAAATAGAGTCGTGCTGAGTGGCGCTCAGCCATTCACAGGCAGGTTTGTATTTCATCAATGAATACAAATCTTCCTATGACGGGTACAGTTGGAGAAGCGGGTTGATGATATTACAGGGATGTTGAATTTATATCGCCTGATGCCTGGGTAGGTAGTTTTCTCTCTTGCCTGCAGCCCTGCTGTGGGCAAGAAGCAGCAGGGCTCATCTGTCAGGTGGAAGCATTCGCCGATTGCTTCCACACAGTGCCAGCTTACCCCCCCCCCCCCCCCGTGAACCTCCCCTCGCTTGAGGTCTCCCGGGCTGAATTTGCCCATCTGTGGGCCCGGGATCGGCTCACCACCGTCAGCTAGAGGGGAGGGAGTAGAGCGGACACGTACGCTCCCCTCCCCTTGTTGTCCTGACCCGGAAGTGAAGTTATGATGTCACTTCCGGGTCCCCGCATTACATTCTTTCCCGGAACTACCACTATTTTATTCTCTAGGGTCTCTGCTTTCAGAAAATATATCATGTTAGGTGGTTGTGTAATCTTCAGGCCTAAAATGATTTTTTAAACTTGTGCAGAAAACACAAATAATGGCTCTGGCAACGAAAGGGATAAAGGATAAGCAGGACACTCCCATTTCCTGACGAGCACACAATCAGTGCTCATTACACTGCAATGTCTCTCCCCTCCCTGCTAGTCCACGGGTGCAGTGCTAGAGACAGGCAAGGAGGGGAGGAGGAGATAAACAGCACAATATTAAAAATATTAAACGTTTAATTCGCTATAAAGCTCCCAATAGTCCTAAAATCACCTCAAATTTAAATATGGTTTTGGTCAAATATTTTTTTTTTTCTTAATCTGGACAAGTAGATCAGGGCACCGATTTAGTCCCCGGACAAGTAGTTTTTTTCAAAAATTTCCACAAATCTGTGTTACTATCTCCAACTCTGTCAGAGGAAACGTTGTATTCATTGATAGAATACAAAGCTACCTATGAATGGCTGAGCACCGCTCAGTTGGACTCTGTTTTGTTTTGGGTGTGAGACAGAAAGATATATCATCTCACACCCAGAACACAGTGCTGTAAACTGTATGTAGATGAGGCTACATACAGTTTATATAGTATGCCCAGCTTGGCCCAAACAAACTATTTAAAGTGACAGTAAAGCTGGACATTAACCTTAATGTACAATTTTACACTATTTTTGGTTAAATTTTGGTTATTTGAAAGGTGTTTAAAAATTAGTGATTTTTAACCGATGTTGGTTATTCTTTTAGCTCAAACTCCCCCACCACCACTTTGAAGCCCTCCAAAGTCTATTTTTGCAAATTGCATTACTGAAAAACAATTTATGGCAAGTACAATTTTTTTTTCTCTCAATATTCAGGGCCCAGTAGACCAAGGGGATGTTCAAAAGTAATCCCAAACAAGGGGAGGGGAAACAACATACCATTCCAGTAATCTTAGATCTGGCTGGTCACACTTACAGGTAGTCTTAATTTTCACATCAAATATCTATTTAGTTTTAGTCGTATTTTAGTTGACTAAAATCTCCACTACATTTTAGTCAACTAAAATCGAATGGGTTATTTTAACCACATCTCGACCGCCCCTATAGCAGATATACTGCTACAGGGCATCAGTGGTGTGCAAAATCACGTATATATATAGTTTTGTTCAAAATAATAGCAGTGTGTTGAAAAAAGTTAATATACCTCAAAATCCTTCTAATTGCTTTTATTTCCATAACACAAATGCATTGGGAACACTACACATTCTATTCCAAATCAAAACATGAAGAAAAATATATCACATTTGTGTTGTTCCTCTAAAACAATTGAAGAAAAGTGAATAGACTGTTCAAAAAAATAGCAGTGTTTGTATTCTTCTTTACAAACTCAAACATTCACTATATAAACTGAAAAATGTTTGAAGATTTTGCTTTCCTTTGAATCACTTAATGAATATTTAGTTGTATAAGCACTGTTTCTGAGAACTGCTGTACATCTGTGTTGCATGGAGTCAACCAACTTCTGGCACCTGTGAACAGGTATTCCAGCCCAGGATGATTGGACTACATTCCACAGTTCTTTATTTCTTGGTTTTGCCTCAGAAACTGCATTTTTGATGTCACCCCACAAGTTTTCTATTGGATTAAGATCCGGGGATGGGGCTGGCCACTCCATAATGTCAATCTTGTTGGTCTGGAACCAAGATGTTACACGTTTACTGGTGTGTTTGGGGTCGTTGTCTTGTTGGAACACCCATTTCAAGGGCACTTCCTCTTCAGCATTAGGCAGCATGAAATACTTTTCAAGTATTCAAACTGATCCATGATCCCTGGTATGCGATAAATAGGCCCAACACCGTAGTATGAGAAACATCCCCATATCATGATGCTTGCGCAACCATGCTTCACTGTCTTCACAGTGTACTGTGGCTTGAATTCAGTGTTTGGGGGTTCTCTGACAAACTGTCTCCGGCCACTAGACCCAAAAAGAACAATCTTACTTTCATCAGTCCACAAAATGTTGCGCCATTTCTCATTAGGCCAGTCAATGTGCTCTTTGGCAAATTGTAACCTCTTCAGCACGTCTTTTTTTTCAACAGTGGGACTTTGCGGGGGCTTCTTGCAGATAGCTTGGCTTCACATAGGCATCTTCAAATTGTAACAGTCCTCACAGGGAACTTTACACCTTCTTTGATCTTCCTGGAGCTGATTGTTGGCTGAGTCCTTGCCATTTTCGTTATTCTTTTATCCATTTGAATGGTAGTTTTTTCGCTTTCTTCCACGTCTTTCAGGTTTTGGTTGCCATTTTAAAGCATTTGCGATCATTTTAGCTGAGCAGCCTATCATTTTTTGCACTTCTTTATATGTTTTCCCCTCTCCAATCAACTTTTTAATCAAGGTACGCTGTTCTTCTGAACAATGTCTGGAACGACCCATTTTCCTCAGAATTTCAGAGAGAAATGCACTGTAACCAGCATGCACAACACTTGCTGCCTTTCTTCCTTAAAAAAGGGCAATAATTGCCACCTGTTTTTCAAAGAATGAATGACCTCACTAATAGAACTCCACACTGCTATTATTTTGAACATGCCCCTTTCAATTAGTGATTCAATTACACAGAATCAGCAGCATGCATGTCATGACTGTTGGGTTTGTTGGATTTCTATTACTCTACTACACCCGCTAGTAAATTATTTGCCATGTAGAAATATCATTTCTACCAAAAACAGTGATTGATCAGGTTAGTGATGTCTGACTGCTATTATTTTGAACACAACTGTATATGATTTTGTTATTCCTGGTAGGGGGCAAGCATGAGCCGCACACACGCCCTACCCGCGCCACCATTCGCGGCTGTCATTCACCGGTGCCCGGTGATTACCAAGCATCTCCGACCTGGAGGAGGACTGCTTTGTTTACTAACAGTCATCCTCTCTGTTGGCTCGGACACCCTGCTGTGCACAGCCATCCACAGCAGTGTGCTTACAGTGAAGCACCAACATATCACCCCTTAGTAAAACACTCCCAGCACACAGTTAACCCTTTGATCACCCCTCATGTTAACCCCTTCCTGCCCAGTGTCATTAGTACAGTGTCAGTGCTTTTTATTAGCACTGATCACTGTATTGGTGTCACTGGGGATGTTCATGATATCATCAATGAAATGCAGCTCCCTGATAACAGCAGCACTCATGCAGCCCCATAAAGGGACACTGCCACCACCATGTTTCACTGTAAGCACCATGCATTTTTCTCTGTACTTCTCACTTTTGCGACGCCATACAGTTTTGAAGCCATCAGTTCCAAAAACATTTATCTTGGTCTCATCATTCCAAAGTACAGAGTCCCAGTAGCCATCTTCTTTTTCAGCATGGGCCTTGGCAAATGCTAGGTGGGCTTCTTTGTGTATTGGCTTTAGGCTTTCTTCGTGGACGACACCCATGCATGACATTCCTCTGCAGTGTACGCCGTATTGTGTCAATGGAAACAATTACCCCAGTTTGGCTTTCTACCTTTTTTAAGCTAACTGCAGTGAAATTGCATGGCAATTTTCAACCCTTCTCATCAGAAGACACTCCTGTTGAGGTGTTAACTTTCATGGAAGGCCTGGACATTTCTGTGAGATGGTTGCAGTTCCAACTGACTAATAAGTAAAGCTTTGCTGATCTTGTTGCCTTCACCTTTCATGTGTAAAGAAATGATTTTCTTTCTCAGGCCTTGTGACATTTCTCTTCCATGTGGTGCTATTGCTGACAGCATGAAATGGGCAGAGGTTTTCTTTGTTAAGTCACGCCCTTTTACAATCAACTGTCTGCTGAACACTGGTTTAATGAATAATTAGACTTACCTGTAGTTGAATTCGTGTTAATTAGGATTTTGTTGTCTAAAATTTAGCTTTGCTTTTAAGACTTTCATTGGGGTATATTAATTTTTTCAACATGGTCTTGAATTAATTTGTTAGGAAAAATACTTTGTGTGCAAATTAACAAATCTTGTTTGCAATCAATGTCCTGCATTTTGTGGAATTATTTTGTAGTATAGTGTCCTAAAGGAAATGTTGATTCTGAAAGGGAAGTAATGGTTTTCTGACAATTCTGTTGGGGTGTGCTCATTTATGCTGAGCACTGTATATACTGTTTGTGTCACTACCATTTCCCAATATCCCTGTATATTGTTTTCACTTAGAAGCCCATCTAAAAGTTTTTTTTTAATTATCAACACTCTGCCGACACCAACAACTGTGGAAGGGAGCTCCACATCTCCACACCCAACAGTTAAGCATCTCTTACACTGTTTATAGTTAAAAAGCTTCTTGTTCAACTCCATTGAGTGGCTGTGTGTCTTATTAAGAGACCTGAGACTTAACAGTTTTCGCCCTATGCACGAATCACCATAAGTTATTTGTATACTGTGATCATATCTTAAGCTTCTCTTCTCCAGGGAGACCAAGTTTATTGCTTGTAGTCGTTCCTCACAGCAGAGGTTCTCTAACCCCATTAAGCTTTGTTGCCTTTCTCTGGACTCTCACCAGTTCCACACATCCTTCCAGAGGACTGGAGATCAGAACTGGATGGTATGGTCAAGATTTGGCTGAACCAGAATCTTGTGAAGTGGTAGAATTATAGTTTTATATTTTGAGTAAATACCATTTTTAATGCATGCTAATAGTCTGCTAGATTTGCTTGTTTCAGCTTAGCACTGAATACTATTGCTGAACCTGCAATTTTCTAGGACCCCAAGATCCTTTTCCATCCTCTATTTCCCAGAGGTTTACCCTCTAGCGAGTAACTTGGATTCATATTTTTAGCTGCCAAGTGCATTACTTTTACATTTTTCGATAGTAAACCCAATTTGTCATGTAGCTGCCCCCCCTTTGTCTTATTGAGATCTTCCTGTAAATGTGCTATATCCTGTTGTGATATAATTACCCTGCTTTGCTAATTCATTGAGGTATTCATACCAACCTCTATATAATTTATGAACAAATTAAACAAAATTGGTCGCAGGACAGAGCCTTGGGGTACTCCACTTGCATCTCCAGACTATTCAGAATTTACACGATTTATCACCACCCTCTGGACACACTCTTGTAACTAATTTTCTATCCATGTATTCAGGATCAGTGATCAGGAACCATGGTGACCGTGCTTCCTGATCATCAGTGGGGACCAAAGCCATCAATGACAGCCAGGATCAAGAGCCACCAGCTGCTCTAAGTGTCAGCTATTGGCTCTCGAGGGGGGAATGTTTATAAGCGTATCCCCAGCATGGGGCATTGTGCTTAGAAACATTTATAAACAAATAATGGGCTGGAATGGCTTAACATAGCAGAGCTCACAATCCTTGTTCTTTTAACTGCAGTACATTTACAACAGTAACATATAATACTTGCATAATAAGTAAAAAGTTTGAATCTATTTACTGAATAGAACATTACTTTAAAAGGAAAATTAAAGCAATATTTGGAAAACCTTAGGTTCTTACCTAGCAGTAGTTTATCTCCATCACTGTTTTCAGCCGAGGACTCTATGCAATCCCAAAGTTCTTCCAGCAAAATTCTGATTTTTTCTTGACAAGAATGGAGAGAAAAAAAAACTATATGCAATATTAAGATAGTAATAATGTGAAAGAAACACAAAGTAGGTAGATCTGAGTACGATTAGCTCCTCCACCAAAAATAGTATAAAATAAATTAACAGCAGTGGTGGATGTAAACAACCTCCCTTAACCACTGAAGCTCCAAAAGCTTTATTTCCTATACAGGACTGCACTATTTTAACTGACAATTGTGCGGTCATGCAACACTGTACTCAAACGAAATTTATGGGATTTTTTTTGACACATAATCATCTTGTAGCGGGACTGTGATAAGTTTGGCCGGCAATCTGACACGGACGCTTTGTGGGCACGGACTGACAATGACATCACCAGTGGCACTAATATAGTGATCAGTGCTAAAAATATACACTCACCGGCCACTTTATTAGGTACACCTTGCTAGTACCAGGTTGGGCCCCCTTTTGACTTCATAACTGCCTTAATTCTTTGTGGCATAGATTCAACAACAAGGTGTTGGAAACATTCCTCAGAGATTTTGGTAAGTATTGACATGACAGCATCACGCGTTTGCTGCAAATTTGTCGGCTGTACATCCATGATCCATATCTCCTGTTCCACCACATCCCAAAGGTGATCTACTGGATTGAGATCTAGTGACTGTGGAGGCCATTGGAGTACAATGAACTCATTGTCATGTTCCAGAAACCAGTTTGAGATGATTAGCGCTTTGTGATAAGATGCATTATCCTGCTGGAAGTAGCCATCAGAAGATGGGTACCCTGTAGTCATAAAAATAATGGACACGGTCAGCAACAATACTCAGGTAGGCTGTGGCGAATAACCGACACTCAGTTGGTACTAACGAGCCCACACCATTACACCATCACCAACAGCCTGAACCATTGATACAAGGCAGGATGGATCCATGTTTTCATGTTTTTTACTCCAAATTCTGGCCCTACCTTCTGAATGTTGCAGCTGAAATCGAGACTCATCAGGTCAGGCAACATTTTTCCAATCTTCTATTGCCCAACATTGGTGAGCCTGTGTGGATTGTAGCCTATGTTTCCTGTTCTTAGCTGACAGGAGTGGCATCCGGTGTGGTCTTCTGCTGCTGTAGCCCATCTGCTTTAAAGTTCGACGTGTTGTGCATTCAGAGATGTATTCTGCATACCTTGTTAGTAACAAGTGGTTATTTGAGTTACTATTGCCCTTCTATCATCTCGAACCAGACTGCCCATTCTCTTCTGACCTCTGACCTTCACAGTAGATCACTGTTTGAAATATGTAGACCAGCCTGTCTGGCACCAACAACCATGCCATGTTCATAGTCACTTAAATCCCCTTTCTTCCCAATTCTGATGCCAAGTTTAAACATCAGCAAGTCGTCTTCACCTTGTCTAGACACCTAAATGAATTGAGTTGCTACCATGTGATTGGCTGAATAAGCAATTTGTGTTACCATGCAATTGAATAGGAGTACCTAATAAAGAGGCCGGTGGGTATATACACAGTCACTGCATTAATGACACTGGTTGGGAAGGGGATAACATTTACTAAAGATAGTTTTATTTCTTACAGCATTCTGTCCTTCTGTATAGACCTCTGTATTGTTTACCAATACAGAGCCCTAGGCTGTGATTTGACACAGCCAATTAGCAGGTACCGGCCATGAATCATTGGCCAGGGTCTGCTGACATATTCCTGCTATGTCAAATCACAGTGGAGTAGATGGGCAGGGGCACGTGCATGCAGTCCCAAAATCCAGAAGAGGCCAGCAACACACAGGTATGTCGATGTACCTGTAGCTTCCGCAGGAAAAGTACTGAGGTGGGTCAGCAACTGGTTAAAGGAGATCACAAAATACACTTCCATATGATAAAACTAACACAGTGATATAAATGTGTTTTTTTTTTAAATCCAATTAAGCTTACTTGAAAAATCTACTTCCATTTTGCCTGTTTTGCCCATCTGCCCTTTCCACAGCGTTTAATTTTTAAGGACTACATATCCAATGGCACCCTGCTGACTGTATGCAGTGATTCCAGTACCGACTCCTCCTCTCAGCACCTCTGTAGTGCAGAAGGCAGGCTCTTTGAATTCTGTGACACAGCAGTGCCTACTCACAGGCCATAGTGACTATGTGTCGCATAATTCAAGGAAATAAAAGTGTGGAAATCTTAATGTCCAGATTAATGTACGTAGCCAAGAAAAAAATTGAAATATAATGTAGAAAAATGTTGACCATAAATACTCTTTAAAAGGTATATAAAAGAAGTTACTTATATACAGTGAGGTCCATAAATATTGGGACATGGACACAATTCTAACATTTTTGGCTCTATACACCACCACAATGGTTTTGAAATGAAACGAACAAGATGTGCTTTAACTGCAGACTGTCAGCTTTAATTTGAAGGTATTTACATCCAAATCGGGTGAACTGTGTAGGAATTACAACAGTTTGCATATGTGCCTCCCACTTGTTAAGGGACCAAAAGTAATGGGACAGAATAATAATCATAAATCAAACTTTCACTTTTTAATACTTCGTTACAAATCCTTTGCAGTCAATTACAGCCTGAAGTCTGGAACGCATAGACATCACCAGACGCCCTGGTGATGCTCTGTCAGGCCTCTACTGCAACTGTCTTCAGTTCCTGCTTGTTCTTGGGGCATTTTCCCTTCAGTTTTGTCTTCAGCAAGTGAAATGCATGCTCAATCGGATTCAGGTCAGGTGATTGACTTGGCCATTGTATAACATTCCACTTCTTTCCCTTAAAAAACTATTTGGTTGCTTTTGCAGTATGCTTTGGGTCATTGTCCATCTGCACTGTGAAGCGGCATCCAATGAGTTGTGAAGCATTTGGCTGAATATGAGCAGATAATATTCCCGAAACACTTCAGAATTCATCCTGCTGCTTTTGTCAGCAGTCTCATCATCAATAAATACAAGAGAACCAGTTCCATTGGCAGCCATACATGCCCACGCCATGACACTACCACCACCATGCTTCACTGATGAGGTGGTATGCTTAGGATCATGAGCAGTTCCTTTCCTTCTCCATACTCTTCTCTTCCCATCACTCTGGTACAAGTTGATCTTGGTCTCATCTGTCCATAGGATGTTGTTCCAGAACTGTGAAGGCTTTTTAGATGTCGTTTGGCAAACTCTAATCTGGCCTTCCTGTTTTTGAGGCTCACCAATGGTTTCCATCTTGTGGTGAACCCTCTGTATTCATTCTGGTGAAGTCTCCCCTCGATTGTTGACTTTGACACACATACACCTACCTCCTGGAGAGTGTTCTTGATCTGGCCAACTGTTGTGAAGGGTGTTTTCTTCACCAGGGAAAAAATTCTTCGGTCATCCACCACAGTTGTTTTCCGTGGTCTTCCGGGTCTTTTGGTGTTGCTGAGCTCACCGGTGCGCTCCTTCTTTTTAAGGATGTTCCAAACAGTTGTTTTGGCCACGCCTAATGTTTTTGCCATCTCTCTGATGGGTTTGTTTTGTTTTTTTCAGCCTAATGATGGCTTGCTTCACTGACAGTGACAGCTCTTTGTATCTCATCTTGAGAGTTGAGAGCAACAGATTCAAAATGCAAATAGCACACTTGAAATGAACTCTGGACCTTTTATCTGCTCCTTGTAATTGGGATAATGAGGGAATAACACACACCTGGCCATGGAACAGCTGAGAAACCAATTGTCCCATTACTTTTGGTCCCATAACAATGGGAGGCACATATGTAAACTGTTGTATTTCCTACACCGTTCACCTGATTTGGATGTAAATACCCTCAAATTAAAGCTGACAGTCTGCAGTTAAAGCACATCTTGTTCGTTTCACTTCAAATCCATTGCGGTGGTGTATGGAGCCAAAAATGTTAGAATTGTGTCAATGTCCCAATATTTATGGACCTGACTGTAGTTATACCAATTATAACTGAAAACAATATGTATAACATTTGTTGTACTATATGCCATGACGAAAATATAAAGATAGGGAAGTAATTACTTCTTATAAGTCTGTTATGTGTCATTAGAGGGATTGTTAAACACCAAACCAATGTATTGTACATAAAAGATAATCTGCCATTTGACCCAATCAGTATATGGACTGAACAGAAAATATAAGCAGGATAACAAGGATCCTCTCCCATTGACAAACTAGTGGTGACATATGCTAGTTTGCAAACTCAGTTCAGGTCAATTTGAGATTAAATTTGTTTGCTTCTTTTTCTCCATATAAACCAGTGTGAATTTGTGGCAAATGGATGTAGCACGGGGCGTGGCCAGGCTATGGGAGAGAGCGGATGTGCAGCCTGAGAGCTCCTGCTAGATTGGGGCTAAAAGAAGCTTCACGGGGCAAGGAAGCCCACATTACACTCTGCGATGCCAGGAAGGCAGCGGGTATGTACCACCCTCACTCGATCCCCACAGACTGGCTCTGGGGCCCTGGATTCCTACTTTGCCGGTCCCTGGAACTGCGCCATGAGGAATCCATGAAAGGCGCCGGACTGTCCGGCACTCATGGCCTCTCCTCTAGCTGCCACCTCTGGTTGTCATAACCAGGGAGACACCATTGGCCCGGCCCAGGTATGCAGCAATAGCCCCACTACTTCTCATGCTTCCACGCTGCCCATGACCGCGTGTTTGGTCCTGGGCGACATTGCTGGAGACTGCGACATCAGAGAGCACATAAGGGCACTCCCTATAAAGGCTGACATGATTCAATTACACTAATTACAACTGTTGAATCCTCGTTTAATGAGGCCTTAGATAAAGTGTGAGCTGATACCACTGCTATAGGCTATCGGGTGGAAGCTGTAGAATCTGCTCATGCAACACTAGCCCACTTGGTTATAAAACTTGGGGAGGCCTCCCGCACGCATGAAACACATGCTAGACTCACTATTACTGCAACTAGACGATCGGAAGAGACGCCAAAATATACGGATTCGTGGCCTGCCTGAGGCAACCCGTGTGCAAGATCTGGTGCCCACGCTCCA